AGGCGCAGTGGCTGTTTGGGAGGAGAGTGATCATAAATGCGGACCAGCCTGAATTTTGATCACATGACTGCAGGGGTGCTGCAATGGCCCGAACTTCGAGGACTGGTCGTAAGTCCATTTTTTCAGCACTGTTTTAACTTTGAACAGTTGCTGAACGGATGGACGTAACCTGAAGTCTACCTGTAATAGGTATAAGGAAGACATTTGAGTTCAGACTTACCCATTTTCACCTTCTGAAACCAATACACAAATGAAAATAATTCAACGTTTTGAATTTTGTAATGCAGTACACATTATAGTATAATAATGTAGAGGAAGGCAGAAATACGGTGGCAAAGGAATGCAAGAACTGTTAGCAGATAAGAGGGACAGGAAATGACATCTCAGCCCTGTGAAAGGTGGGAGTGTGAGAAAGAGGCTCAAAATGGCCCTGCCATGATTCTATATGGTAGACGAGGGGGCAGGGGAAACTTTGGCAGGCTTTCCAGATCCGGTTATTGTGCCCTTGAGCAAAAAGTAGAGCTTCAGTAGTCCACATGGTGTCTGTTTCCAGACCTGGCCTACTGGAAGGACTGACAAAAAGTATATTCAGGAAAATGTTTTATACAAATATATTCATGAAAATGACGCAAAATGTATTTTTAGAAAACATGTTATGCTACCCAAAATGTAGTCATGCTACATTTTGGGTAGCATAACATGAACAAGACATGTTTTATGTGTTTTGCAAAGTTCCTCAATAAAAACGCCTATGTTTTGGTCAGTAGAGTGTTTTAGCTTTTGTCACCACACCGCACGTCCCTATTAATAAGTGGCACGTGGCAACAGTATGTTGGCTTGCAAAATGTGGATGAGAGATTCCAGCTTGCATAGAATAACATAAGCATGCTTGAGGCAAAAGTAGGTTTTGGTTCCACTTGTGACGTAATGGCCGAAATGTATCAAAAATGACTTCTACTATCCTTACTGTTAGCAGCGAATACTGTATATGGCACAAGTATGAGTAAGGCTGATAACCTGGTTTACACTTTACCTATCTTAATAAAAAGCATTATGTGAAAGCCCCGATTGACTAATATTGTGATATGTGATGGAAGTCAATATCTGGCAGCCCATCTGGTGACCATCATGGCATATGGAAAATTGCAACTTGGAACACGAGAGAGGTAAAAGAGCATAAATTATTGAATGAAATGAAAGAAAGAAAAACACGTACTGTGTGTTTCTGAGAAAAGGAGAAATGGGAAGGACGCAATAAGTTCTGGACTAAGATGGTTTGATCTTGTGGGGTAGAGCTGATGAATACATATATAGAAGTGAAAATGTATTATGAATGAAAAGGCAAACATATATGTCAGGAAGTATGAATTGATGGCAGTTACGATGCATAAGAAGTAGGACGTCACTGGCTGATGATAGTTCTGTGTTAGGTTGCAGGGAATGGGGATAATGGGAGAACCAGAGATGACCGCTAGAGAAAAGTGTGCAACATTTGAAATGAATGTGATCTAGGAGGAAAATCTTACGTTAGTGGAAATGAGATGAGAAAATACAGAAAAAAGTAATTAGGCCATTTGGAGACCCAAGAATGAATGAGAATGGTGATTTTTTTTTTTAATGAGTTCTGTTTTAGTAATGGGAAAGGCAAGGTAGTTCAAAAAGCGAAAAGTCCATTTTCGCTTTATTGAAAACCTGGGGTTTTCAAACTTTTTCAGGCTGCAGAACCTTCGTGTTTAAAAAAAAATTCTCAGAGCCTCTGATCAAGAGGCAAAGCTCTGGTGATACAAAATTGGCTGTGTTCAAGTGAAGTGAAAAGTGAAGTCTCTTTTTTTTGTTTTGCTTTTAGTCTCTCACAGAGCACCATCCATTTTTCATCAAGCCCTAAGGTTTTGCAGAACACAGTTGGAAAAAAAAAAATGGATTATACAAAGGCTTTAGACCAGAGCAAATGTGGATAATCCATAAAAACTTTGGCGTACCAGGCCATATGAATTCATGATTGAAGAATATCGTGGTCTGGAAGTAATGTTTAGGATGGAATATGGAACAACTAAAGGTTTAATACTTGGGAAAGGAGTGCCAGGGTTGTACCCTGTTGCCTTATTAATTGAATTTATATGTTGAATATAGGATGAGAAATGCTGAACTAGGAGAAATTGGAACTAAAAAGGATGGAAGAGAGATCAACAGCCTTAATGATGCTGATAGTAACAGCTTTGATGGCTGGAAGTGAGGAGTCTTAAGGAATGTCATTTGCAGGGGAGAGAAGAAAGAGCAGAAGCTGGTCTGCGGCTCGGTATTTTTAAAAACGAAAACCCTAAGATTATGTCAACAGGCAATGCCAGAAGATAGGTGGAGAAGAAGCTGAAACTATAATAGATTTTATCTTCTTAGGCTCAGACATTCACAGGGATGGTGAGTAAGAGGGAAGGCTGAGAAAGCTGTGGTTGGCCAGAATTGATGGAGACTTTCAAAGAAAGAGGGGAGAGGGTTAAAGAGCAAAAATTAATGTATGAATCGGCATAACAGACACGGTGGAAGAAGGGGTGGTTTAAAAGGACCGAAAGATATGGGGAGGAATAGCGAATGGTGTTAACATAAATTAGATCTAGCTGCATTTCCTTTTGGTTTCTCTGATTTCATGCCTTTACTGTCTTTTGCTTGTTCTGGGTTGCTCATAATATTGCTTTTCTCAAATGGAATAACATCATTGGTGTCTGTGTATGTATGCATATATGTTTTTCAGTATAATGCTCTGGAATTCATTTGGAGCTTCTCGAGAAAGTCGGTTTTTGTCTCAGTGGACAAATCTACATGGAACAATTTGCATAAAAATATGGAACCTGAGCGTCACTAATCACAGAACGGTGCTAATTAAAAGGAGAAGCCTTTACTGTCCCTATGTATGTTCGTATGAAAGAGAGAAAGGGCAGGGCATAATCACATAAGTGTTCCCGTAGTCTTTACAAGTGGGGCATTTCATAAGAGAAAGCTCCGAAATGGCTTGAGGTTAAAATCTAGGATTAAAGAATCTGAAACCCGTGTTAAAATGCAAAGTTTTTTCTTTGGTATTCTCTAATAAAGTCCGAGAGCTCTATTATGTGCACAATAAAAAGGGTTGTTATCCCTTTAATTTCAGGAAATGCAGACTGTTTTTCATGCATATTTTTAACCTTATCTAGATGAATAACATCCTGGCATTCTTCCTGATGCTGGGCAGTAAAGCATGAACACGCAATACACAGCTTTTGCTTCTCTATCTGCGACATTACTAAGGGGTTTGTTCTCCTTGGTCCTTCAGATTGTTTTATGGATTGGTGACTGGTTCAAAGCAGAGCGTAAGAGTCTAAGAATAGGTCTCGTGCTGGGGGATGTAAATATTGTGGTCGCAGGAAAAATTGTAGCAGGATCGATGCTTTTTTAAGCGTAACCAGAAATAATATAGGAGGAGGAGTAAGCACCGTGACATCCAAGTTTGGGGATGACACCAAATGTTTCAGGGTAGCCAATACAAAAACAGATTAAGAAAAGTTCCCAAAGGATCTCCCCCAGTGAAGAAGATATGCCTGTAAAAGGCAGATATGATTTCGGGTCAGAACTGTAAAAACTGGAGCAAAGAAATAATTTCACAAATATGCTGTTGAGGTCTGAACCAGAAGCAAGCGGCCCTAAAGGAAGCTAAATGAAACTGTTGACCCGGAAGGTGGCTGCTGCGAACAAGGGAAGTTTCCTGTTGGGGATTATAAGGAAAGGAATTTAAATACAGTTCTCAGAATACAGATTGGTGGTGTAGTCATACGCAGAATGCAGTGTTCATTTATGGTGAACACATCTCAAAAAGTATATTGCGCACAAAGGGACTGTGGGAACAAGGACAGAAAGAGGCAACAAAGAGGATTTTCCACCTAGAATTAATGATGGCGCATTGGGGAATATTGCAGCTGATACCCCCATCCTACACATATTGCACCCCTTAAAAATGTCCTTGCCATACACAGACAGTGTGTATGGCAAGTAAGCTAATAAAGTCCACTGGTGCCAGTAGTAGGTATTTTTCCAAAATTTTTCAAATGGCTGTGCTGGCTTCTCTTCAGGCAAGAGAAGGAAGGAGTTATGCAGCAGCCCCTGCCTGAAAAGTAGCCCTTACACAACAACTAAGCTTAAATAACACAACCTCTTTGATGTTATAAGGCTTTTAGGCACTTCTAATTGCCGTGATAAAGGGACAGAGAGAGGGTCTTTGGAAGGAAACAGCTAACATTTCTCTCCCTAGAAATTGAGCCACTTGAAAATTCTGTTGGATATGAATAAAAGACATAGCTGGGTAACTCCTTTTCTAAAAAAACGGTGGACATTTGCGTACCAGAGTTGTGCAGCAGAGAAGGTACTTTTATACAGTAGTAAAATTTAAATCTCTGCATCTCTGGGACCAGGGACGCGGTGGCGCAGCGGCTTAATGACGCTGAAAGTTGCCGGCCAGAAATGGTCGACACTTCAGCGGTTCGAGCCCAGCTCCGCGCAACAGAGCGAGCTCCTCCCCAGCTCCTGTCAACCCAGCAGCTCGAAAACATACATGAGTAGATAAATGGGGACTCTCACCCTGGTGGGAGGAAAAAAGTTGCCGGTAGCGCGGAAGCCGCGCACGCCCGAAAAAGGCGCGAAGCAATGGAAACCCCACCTCCTGCGCTCGCCGGCTGGGCTCTGCTCTAGGCAGGAGGCTCTGGCAAACCACTTCCGAAACACCTTGCCTTGAAAACTGCAGGGACTCGTCCAGGCAGTCGCCGCAGAATCGGTAACGATTGAGTGTGGATTAAAAAAAAAAAAATCTCTGGGACCATTTCCAAGAAAGACCCTATGGTTCTCCGGCGTCACTGGAACAATTGTGCCCTCTTCTGGCATATTCTACGTGTAGGAGTGCATTCTGCGATATCTTCTAACTCTGCAAATTGTCTGAAATTCCTAATTTTTAAAAAAATGATTCCATCTTTGTCCCATTGCAGAAAAAGTACAGAAAAGGATCAGTTGACATTTCCAAAATCAAATGTGTTGAGACTGTGAAGAATGATGATATTGTTATACCCTGTCAAAATAAATATCCCTTTCAGGTAAGCTGTGAAGTCTGGTTTGTTGGATTTCAACAAACATGTAGATGTTTGCCTAGCAGACATTCTGGACCTGCCGCCCCTAACCTGATATACCCCAGAGAGGTTTGGATTACAACTACATTTCCAGCCATTAGCCAAGCTAGACCACTTTAAAGAAGAGCAAATACACACATTTCCTTTCAGTGAGCACACACATGGTTTTATTTGGAAGATCTCTAAACCAGACATTGCTGTTATGTCCTGTGGGCAGATCCGATTACTTTCTTATGCTTTTCCTCTCTCCTATTTCCAAGCTAATCTTTTCCCCTCTTTTTTCCCCCCTTTATTTTTATTAATTGGTATGAACTAAAACTGCACGAAGAGTTCCAAATGTTCACCTTAATGCTTCTGAAATGTGTTAGGACTTTCTCT